AAATCAAAGGTGTGCAGTGGGTGTCCTTAAATGGAATGAGAGCTGAATGATGATGAGAATGATGTTAGATTTTGCTCGGTGCATAAAGCTTTAAATAGTCAAAATGCACTTCCTATTTTCTCAGTTGCTTTGTAATTTCTGTGCGTTCAGTTTCTGTGTCTCAGCGTCAAAATGTGCAATCCTTCCCTGGCGTCCGCCCCGTCCGTTCCCGAGGTTGTAGAAGCTCCTCAACAGGAAGAGGTGGTGGAACAAGTGATATCGGAGTCGTCGGAGTCAGAATCGGAGTCGGAGAGCGAGATTGAACCGATAATAGTTATGCAAAGATGTGAAGAGATAAGAGAAGAAGTGTTTTGTTTCTTAAAAAGGAGGGGAGGGGTGGCTTTCCTCACACAATTAATAAAAGAGTCCTCCCATTACCCTTTCTCAAGTCGGTTGCGGAGAACCACCGTAAAGGCTTTGTTTATACAAAGCTTCTTTGTGATTTTGAGCGGTACAGTTTTGAACCCTCAAAAATACAAATGGGCGAGTCCCTCACAATGGAGAAAAGTGAGGGACGTATACACTTCTCCTTTATGGTGGCTTTATTGGAAACTACAGCTCGATTCAGAGGTGGGGTTCTCTTCGGTGAGCCGAAGACAACTTCACCTAATGCTTTTTGAGATGGTTCGGAGGATGCGGGCTCAGATTAATAATCTGGGCCTATGTGAGGAAAAGCCACCGGAAGAAATGGAAGAGGGATTTTCAACTGGAAGCGAAAACGATTGAATTGGGGGGGGGGGGGGGTTTAGTGGGGTGAGTTTAGAGTTTAGTTATAAAAAACTTACGGGTATGAGGCGGTGAGCGGTCGGAGAAGACTAAGCACGAGTAAAAAAGTAGAACTGAAAGCGAAGGTACGTACCTGCTTCTTTTTATAATATTAAAGTTGATGACGTTTTAGGTGTGCTTGTTTGATTCAAAGGTGGGAGAGGGAAAATTTATTCTTCCTTGTTACTCATTAGTTACCTTTGTTAAGTTTCCTAGTTTTTCTTCCTCATTTCATGATTCAGAATCTGGCGTCGTTTAGCGGAAGATTAAAATAGACGAGAACTGACGCGCGTGCGCGTGTTTCTAGTGACATTGATCTTGTCATAATTATGCACTTCGAGAAGTGAATAATATTCTGTTAGTGTCTTGCGCGTCTAGGACGTCATAGGTGCACGCCTCCGCTGACATTGACCTTGCCTTGTAATAAAACAACTGTTCCTATGCAGTTGCGAGAGCGCTGTAACAGACACGGACTCAACGCGGGCGGGAGCGATGTCTCGATAAGAGGCGTGCTCCGAATGTGTAATCTGTTTTGGCGTATTTTTGCTTGGGTCTCTCTTTTTCTAACTACTTCAGCAATCTCCATAAGTGACATACGTGTTAGCGAATCAAATTTTAACTGTCCGAGATGACACAGTAAAAGTCTCATTGGTAAAAAACCTCATTACCGCGACCTCGCCGGAGTGGAGCGCCTTCAAATGTGGGTGATACACCCAGCTTTGCCAGGCAGTTAGTTTAGTTGCCTATCCGAATCAAGCCTAACTCATGTGATTGGTTTCATCATATGAAATTGCGATCATGTTTGATGGTACCGTGCAATTAAGCAGAAGAAACGTCTATTTGAATTCTAAGCATCCTTATCAAAACCCTCTTTTTCGTTTCATTACTTTACTTTTTTTTACATTGTTCTTAATTCAACAATTATTGATTTACCGGCAATTATGCGTATTGACTGCTACTTAATATAACTTGGTACTTCAATTCATAAATCGTCCACTGTTCTCTTCTCCTTTCTTAAATTTTTAGTTAGAAAAATGCAATATCCTTGCTAGACTAGGAGTATTCTATGCTCAACAAGTGTGCTCATTGTCCATCATAAGGCGAAAAATAGCGTCGACCTCTGAATTTAATGATCTTGTGCCTCATTCGAGTATGTCACTTAGATCAGATCAGGGTCACTGAAATAGACCGCGTTTAGCAAAAAGGAACCAAGCCACACCAGCCATTACCATTTAACCGGGCACTTTATTTTTTACAAGAGAACGTTTGTGAAGATTCCTTTGAAATTTCTAAGGAATTTGCTTCGCACTATGATGCAGAAAATTGACTGAAAGTTGCACCAAAATCTGCACAACTGTTTTCTTGTAAAACATTAAATTGGCCCATTAAATTTGGTGGTAGCCGATGTGGCTTAGATCCTTTCTGCTTAACGCGGTCCAAATGTACAATCTCTGATCCTTTCTAGCCAGAGACAAGAGACCCTCCACTAGTATCTTGGCGATTGTGGAAGTTTGTACTTTCGGGACTTCAGCATTCTACTGTAGACTTACCTACATGGTTGATGTTTGGCAGTTTTGTTTTGCAAACAAGCTAAAAATGGCCGACGTTTGGGAAACTTGTTTGGCTCATGACGTCACCCGAAGCTCATCATCGACCATGTAGGTAGGTCAACAGCCGAAATTAGGGTGATGACTGTTGCTCCCTAATAATTGTCCATAAGGAATTGTTGAAACCCCGAAAGTAAAAGCTTCCACCTGTCGCTAGGAGGCCAGTGGAGGGTCTCTTGTCTCTGTTTCTACCTTTCATCAGGTTATTTTGAGTGTAAACGTCATCGCTGCACTACTTACGGCGTAAGTGGCTTACCCGAGGCGGGCCGTTTACTGCCCTGTCTGTGTAAATAATGGCTCGTTTTGCATGCGGAGCCATTGGCCGCTCCATCTTCTGCCTCGATTACGAGCAATTCCGTGCTTTTCAGTGCAAAACAATCGGTCCGATCTCGGAAAATAAGATGCACGCTGAAATTTTCCGCCAAAGAGTACCGACGCAGGCGTCTAGAGGCGGAACCGCGCCGCGAGCATTTGTGAGCGTGTCGTGGCATGCGTGCACGGCTCGTATCATCCATTTGTCTACTTCATACTTCTCCCGTGTTTTACTCTCTTTAAACAGAGTGACGATCGTAAAGTAAGCGGGATTGATACACTGGAAAAAAAAAAACACATTGGATCTAGAGTCCAGACTCCTAAAAGCATCGACAAGAAAAAGTACTCTTGATTCAATCAGAATCCAGCTTAAAT